ATTTGGGGCTTCTGTACCCAATCTATACCCATCCCAACTCATTCTGACCATAAAGGCAGAGTAGAATGGGCCTGTAGTGTTCCCAAGTCTGTAAGGCCTCATCTTTCTCCCAGCTAGTAGGTTCAAACTGCTGACCTTGAGGTTAGCAGCCAAGCAGTTAACTGTTAAGCCACTATGGCTCCTTGTACAATTTTATAGCACTGAAAGCTGAGAGCCAGCGCTGAAATCTAAATGCACGTGCAGTTACTCAGCAAGTGGTTATCCTGAAAGAACAAACGATGGAAGAATAAAGGGTGGCAGGAAGGTGCCTGGAGGCAAGGCAATCCCAGAGTCAGACACGTGGAGTAAGGAAGGAATGCTCCATTGAATCCACTCCACGCAGCCGTTTTTTGAAACCGCATTCTTTCAGTGGCTCCTCGCAGTCTCTCTCACCAACAGCCAAACCACGGCTGGTGTGAATGGCAGTGAAGTCCTGAAAATGTAGTTTGCAAAAGAATCAACCCCAGGGGTCGTCTGCTTTAACCGGTGTGTTTATTAGTCTCTGTTTCTGTGATGCACAGTTGTTATTAGGTACCATGGAATCTTCTGGATCCCGTGACAATATGTGTAAGAGAACCACATGCTGCTCAGACCCGTGCCATGCCCGGTCGCCGTTGTGTCAATCCATTTCCCCGTGGGGTTTTTCCTGACCCTCCACTTTACCAAACATGATGTTTGGGACCAAGGACTGGTCCCTCCCGAGAACATGCCCAAGTACGTGAGACGCTATCCTTCCTTCTAAGGAGCATCAGGCTGTATTTCTTCCAAGACATAGCTGTCCCTTCTTCTCACAGAGGAAGAGAGGCACATAGTGTTGTTGTTAGGTGCTGTCAGACTCACAGCGATTATATGAACAGCAAACCTGAACTTTGCCCTAACCTGTGCTATTCTCACCGTCTCTGACACGTTTGAGGCCACTGTTCCAGTTACTGTGTCAGTCCAGCTCATTGAGGGTCTTCCTCTCTCCCATTCTTTCCAAGCGTAGTGTTCCTCTCCAAGGAATAGCCTTTTCTAACATGTCCAGAGTGTCAGAGATGGAGCTTAGTTATCTTTGCCTCTAAGAAGCACCCTGGCTGCACTTTCCAAAACATGTGTTTGTTCTTTTGGCAATTTGTGGGATAGTCAGTTTTCTTCTCTGATATCACAACTCAAAGGCACCAGTTCTTTTTCTGTGACCCTTATTCATTGTCCAGCTTTCAGACACATAGCAAGTGATTAAAAAGATCATGGCCTCATGCACAGTTTGAGGGGAGAGCATCTTTGTGTTGTCAAATGGATCAGGTCAATTCTTGCCCTTAGTATTATTAAGTGCATGGAGACCGCCTCCTTTACAGATTTAATCACTGTGGAAGAAGAAGAAGGGGAAAAAAGTGGGGAGAGAGGTAAGAGTTGTGGGAAGAGAGGGCAGCCCAGGTTGTTGAAATTTTAGAAACTGGCTAATAACGTTTTGTGTAAAATCTCTTAAGTTCAAAATGCAGAGAAGGCTCTTTTAACTATGCTTTTTGATTCCATAGCTGCTGTCATTTAAATGCTAATAAAGGATTTCTACAGTCTTAAAACAAAAACAAAAGATCATGGCCTGAATCAAGCACACCTTAGTCTTCAAAGCTGACAGCATTGCTCCCCAGTAATTTGGAGAGATCCCTGTGTGAAGACTTTCCCAATGCAATGCATATCCTGATAATACTGCTGATATCAAGGGTGTTGATTATTGACCCAAGCATATGAAGTGACAATTTCAACCCTTTCTCCATCTCTCATGATGTTGTTTGGTGGTCCAAAGACACTGGAGAATTTTTGACAGGTGTGGGTTTTTGCGTTGTTGATATTGATTTGAGATACAATCCACATTTAAGTGTTCAAGCCTTTCCTTTCAGCAAGCAAGGTTGTGCCATCTGCATAATGCAGGTTATAAATGAGTCCTGTGATCCTGGTGCCACATTTCCTTTACATGGAGTTCAGCTTCACTATTATTTGCTCAGCATCTACATTAAATAGGTATGGAGAGAGGATATGTCCCTGACATTCACTCTAATTTTAAACATAGTGGGTGTGTACGTAGATTCGTTTGCAGAAAAAGCGCACAAACCGCTAGCGCTGAAGGAGGGCGTCCCTAGCTCCTCTCTTCTCCCCGCGTAGACAGCCTCTCAAGGTGTCTGCTCCGCAGAACCACCGTGCACGTCGGCAGGTTTCGCGGGTAGGGTACCAGTTTCCCATGGTACAGGTGAGGCACTCCCTGGCAGGTGGGTTTCCATGGTGCCCGGCACCCACCAAAGCGAACAATCAAGCCCACTGCGTGCAGTCCCTTCCGACTCACAGGACGGAGAAGGCCGCCCCAAGTCTCCTCGGTTGTACACCTGTAGGGAAGCAGACGGCCTTGTCTTTTCGGAGGAGTCGCAGAGTGGCTGGTGGATTCAAACGGCTGACCTTTGGATGGACAGCTGGGCGCTTTCGCCGCTGCACCACCAGACCTGCCCTGAAGGTGAAGCAGATCTCACGCTGAGGAGGTGAACCCGTGAGCGGGCTCCAAAGTCAGCCTCCCGCCGCGCAGCACCTGCTCAGGTGTGCCACGTGAGGTCGGTGTGAGTTTTGCACGGAGGACAGTTCGGAGACCCGTCTGGGCAGGTGAGCAGGGTGTGCCAGCGGGCTCAGGGAAGCCCCTCGCCTCCCCGCAGCGTGGTCTGGAGGTTGGGGGACAGCTCCGCGGGCACCCAGCTCCGCGGGCACCCAGCTCCGCGGGCACCCAGCTCCGCGGGCACCCAGCTCCGCGGGCACCCAGCTCCGCGGGCACCGAGCCCCGCAGCCGTTGTGGCTCCGCGAGGACACCCGACCTGGGCGGGCGCCGGGGGCGGGGCGC